ACTTTTAGTCCACTTAGTCAATTTCAAAAATGTATGTAGATGATTTAGTTGAGTTTAGAAAATGTATTAGTCAAAAATGTATGTAGATGATTTAGTTGACTTTAGAAAATATATTAGTCAAATTATTTAAGTCGTTACAACACTAATTTATTTTTAAATTTTGGGAATGCTAGTAATCTTGTTGATTCATAGTTATACAATTACTACTTGATTCGAATTAAATACTAAGGAATGAAGTTAATGGTCCTAAATCTTTCATTTAAATTTATTTCTTTTTAATTTTGATTAATGGGTAAAAGATCATCAACCTATACTAGGATCATTGCTATTTCAGTATTGCTTATTTTAACCAAAACACAAACATCAGCATTTGATTGAACAAATTGTGTTTTATAGAGATAGTCACTTAAAACATTTTGCTAATTTTTACCACTTTGTTTTAAACCATAAAATGATTTATTTAATTTCCATACTAATTGTTTGTTGTTGTGGGTTTTTTCATAACCAGGAAGTTGATTGATATAAATTTCATGTTCTATGGTGCATATATATATTCTATGGTGCATTTATATGTTCTATGGTGCATATAAGCACTTTTTGATCCAGGATAATAGACTAGGTATGATGGACTGTCTTTATTGTATCCAACAAAATAATCTTAAATGCTTCATAGTTCTAATTTTTTTGGTATTACGTTCATATGGGTAACATACTGCAAGCCTTCTCATGAAACGCGTGTGATTTTTCATCTGTTTGTAAAATATATTTGTATAATTTTAATGTAACAAGTATATATTTTCCCTATAAGAAAATGTCTATGTGATCCATGTGTATACTTTTATGTATAACTTTTTGTATTATAAAATTATATGTAATTGATCCACACACATAACTTATTTGGGTTAGGCATTAATTTTATAGATGGAATATCCATATTTCAAATGTCCAATTTTTTATGTTTATTTTTTAAATAACTATTTCTTATTTCTTATTTGTATATAAAAATTATTTTTATTTATATTTTTGAATGATACGCATTTCATCACATTCAGATTTCTTATACTATTTAAGCCTTTCAGTATATTTTCTAAGTAGGACGCACACACATATATACATTGTTTTTAAGCTTCAATTAGGCCATGTTGTCAACACATTTTTCACATAGTCTTAATTGTTAAGTATTACCTTTCTTTTCCTGTATGTTTTTTATCCTCAATCATTTTTCATCCCGGGCTCTGTGTATGTGAAAAAAATTTAAGATGAGGTAGGTTTTGATCCAAGATTATTCCGATTACGAAGTAAACACTTTATTCAAATAAGCTAAACGTGCGTATACATACAAACAGTATAACTCTAAAGAAACAAAAATAAAAATAGTACACAAATTATATAAAGTATTTTTTTTTTTTTTTATTTGTTTCTATTTAAATTTATTTTAATTTCCTATTTTGTTAGTTTTGCTTTTTTTGTTTTTGAATCTTAGTTTTTTATGCAATGATTTGTATAATAAAACTTGCAAACAGCCATGACCAAATTATCTAAAATAAAGTACTCACGTGTGGTCATACAAGACGAAAAATCGCACACGTTTCCTGGGAAGGATTGTACTGATTCGAATAAGTGTTATCTAAAAATGTTTGGCTTTCAACCAGTTACTAATAATCACATCGTATTGGTGAACTTTTAATTCGTTGCACATAGCATCAATTCCTTATAAATGTTGCAGTGCTAACTGCATAAGACCATAAATGTTTTGGAAATTGTGGTTCAATAATCATGGCTCTTGCCATGTCAAATAGTGAAGGCCAATTCTTTTCTATATTTCCATTTTGGTGTGGAGAATAAGGTGATGTAAATTCATGTTTAATGGTATGTTTTAGAAATAGTTCTTTAAATTACTTTTGATAAATATTCACCTCCATTATCACTGCAAATAGTATATTACCAGATCAGTGTCCATTACCAGATAAGTGTCCATTACCAGATCATTGTCCATTACCAGATGTAACATGGTATGTACAAAGTGTTTTCAAAAGTGACAGTTACTATTTTATGGTTATGTAGTTCAACCTATGGAACTTTCATCCAGAAACTGTATAAGTTCAGCAAACACTATTTACTTTTTGTCTTCATCAATTTTGCCATTTCTAATTAAAGAATCTTTTAAATTTTTTTAACTTCTTATATATTCAAGGAATTTTGTTTCACATATTTTGAGTTTCTTACTAGTTCCATCGAAAACAAGAATTTGCCACTGGTAACTTGGTCATAACCTGTTAATGTTTTGCATTCATTCATGATAGAGAAAATAAATATTGATGATGTTTTCAAATATTATTAAAAGTATACATAAGACATAGCCTTGTGGCTGAAACTAAAAAGTTAACAATATACAGCATATAAGTATGGTACAGAAATAATGTTATATAAAAAATGGTGTCGTAAAACTCAAAAATTTACATAGTTTATTACATTTACATAGTTTATTACATAATATTTGACTAATAAATTTTGTAATGACGGAAAAAAATTAAAAAAAGAATTACAAGGCTTGAGAGGTGTTTTTTTATACTGAATATGTTATCAAACAACAGGAAAATAAATTATAACTAGTCATATATAGTCTTAACATTTTTTAAACTCATTTTTCATCTTTTATTTTTATTTTTACAACATATTCAGGGGCTGCCAGCAGTCATTTTTAAAAAAAGTTGTTTTTAAAACCACCCTATCATATATATATATATATATATATATATATATATATATATATATATATATATATATATATATATATATATATATATATATATATATATATATATATATATATATATATATATATATATATATATATATATATATGTATATATATATATATGTATGTATATATATATATATGTATATATATATGTATATATGTATATATATATATATGTATATATATATATATATATATATATATATATATATATATGTATATATATGTATATATATATATATATGTATATATATGTATGTATATATATATATATATATATATATATATATATATATATATATATATATATATATATATATATATGTATATATATATATATATATATATATATATATATATATATATATATATATATATATATATATATATATATATATATATATATACATACATACATATATATTTAAACAATTTTAAAAATGTATTCTACAAAATAGAGTGCTCAATGTTCTTAAAAGAACAGAGCAATTATAAATTCGTAGAAAATCACTTTACAAAATTTACAAAATATATATATATATATATACACACATACATACATGCATACATACATACATACATACATACATACATACATACATACATACATACATACATACATACATACATACATACATACATACATACATGCATACATACATACATACATACATATACAGGCCTCGTTTTAAATAAAAAGTGCTTAATGCATTAGCTTAACGCTATATTTGACGTCATAAAATTCTCTTTACTTTATTATTTTTTAAAAAAATTAACTTTTTTTAAATTACTGCAATAATATTAATTACCGCAAAATGAATTAAATGCTATTTGACTGCTTTTTTATTATTACTATAGGAATGTTTATTTTGTTTTACTTTTTTTTTTTTTTTTAATATTAAATAATTAAGTTTAATATAGCATTTTTAAAAAATGTTTGGTATTAACAAATTTCTTTTTTTCTTCTAAATTTGCATAAATGAATTAAAATATGTTAAATTTTTGAGTTTTTAAAATGATTGTTTCTCAAATTTCAAATTACGGCTTTGCAACTTCAAATGATTTTTTATTTAAAAAAAATTAGTGAGTAAAAAAATTACGTTAATTTATTTACTTTATTTATTTAAAGTTTATTAGTTTATTACTAAAATTACATCTCTGAATATATCGTTTATTAAAAAATAATCGCTGCGATTTAACTTGCCTTATAAAAAAAAGTTTAGCTTACGTTTTGTGCAAACTTTTGATGCAGCTGTTTATTTAAAATTTAATTTTGAGTAAAAAAAAATGTTTAGGAAGGAAAACCAAAAAAACAATTGCGATAAAAATAAGCTGATTTTTTTTTAAGAACAAATAAAATTTAAAAATTGAACATTATTTAGTAATATTTTTAAATAAATTTTTAGTAATATTTTTAAATAGGTTTGACAGTTAAGTTAAACCCAAGTATTAACTTTAATTTTAATAAACTTAAATATATTTTTAAAATCAAAATTAAGTTATATATTTTTTAAATTTAAATTTAATTATATATATTTTTTTAATAGAATAAAATTATATATTTTTGTTAAGTTAGTTTTAAATTAAATCATATAGTTTTAATCAGAATTGAATTATGTTTTTATGATCTTTGCTTCAAGCTTAAAAAATCAATCATTACAATAAAATAAAAACAAAATAAAAATAAACTTTTAATTTTATTTGAGTTTTTTTCATTATTAAATATTTACTAATTAAAAAATGTATTATTTAAAATTATTATTTAGATAGCGCTTACATCAAACATAATTGTCATTCAAACTTTTGTAACAAATTCTTTTACATAAACGTCATTTAAAAGTTGAATGACGTTTATGTAAAAGAATTTGTTTAGTTATGTGACTTTTTAAAAATTAATTACTTTTTTATCTTACCACTTATAGTATAATTAAAAAGTTTAAAAATGAAAAAAATTGCTTAACTAAAATCGCTTACTGCTTACGTAAAATTCACTTAAGGCATACGTAAATCGCTCTACACTTAACGCTTTAAAACAAGGCCTGCAGATATTATTTTTGCTTTAATAAGTTAAAAACTGATGTATTCCATGAGGGACCATTATTGAGGGACCACCATGAGGGACCATTGTTCCACTTGACATATCAAAATTTTTTAAATAGTATAATAAATTTGTATATATTATTTTTTAAATATGGTTTTATTTTTTCCTTTGAGTTGAAGTGTTGCTTTTTTATGATAGATGATTCTGCATTTGTTGATAACACTATTACATTGGCTTCAAAAAAAACTGTTCAAGATAGCGATCAATCCAAAGTTTTTTTATTTGATGATATGAGACCATCCAATAAAGAAACACTATCTGCTGAAATGCTTCAGCAACATTTTAGAAGAATGCGACTAATGCAAAAGGTTGACTTAATTAATTTTATTAGAAAACAAATATATAAAATAATAATAAAATATATAAAAAATATATAAAATATATAAAAAGGCAGTAAAATAATTATGTAATAATTACAATAATTCTATTTTGTACAGAATGAAATTATTTATGGAGAAGTGGGGAGAGATGTTTTTTTTTTTGCCTGGAATAACTAATGTTAGGCCCATGATTGTGTCTAGGTCTTTTTTAGTTGTAACAATTATTTCTATTTTGTCATTATTAAAGCGTATAACAATTTTGCAATCAATTTTTATTTATTTGTTTTATTTATTTATTAGCATTCAGTTCAGTTTAAATTATTTAATTTAAAATGTTGTTAGGGTTTTAATTAGATAAATAATAGAAAGTAATAAAAAGCCAAAACTCTGGGTGTTTATGCTGTAACTCATGAGTAGGGCATTTTTTTAATGATGAATTATGAACAAAAATCTAGTTTTTGTTGTGTGAACCGTTAAAATAGCTAATGCAACCCTCAGAAATAGGGAAAATGAGGTCGACTATAGTATGACAATAATATATCTCAATCTTTTAGAGGTCGGCATCAGATCGGCAAAAAAAATTTCATACAAAAGTCTTACTATAAGACATAGAAACAAATTTGTTTGTTTTTAAATTATTTGTCTGCACAACCTTACTTGAAGTAAAAGAGTAGCTGACTTGCCTGATTAAATATTTGAAATCATATATAACATTACTTAAGTTGCTGTATTAAATAACTCTGATTAAATAATTCTTCCTTATTAACTTAATTTTTTTAAGGATACAGACACTGAGTTACCTCCAAAAAAACAAAGCTGTTCACAAAATCTTTCACCGCTTCAGTTTTCTGGATACAAATGTGATAAAACTTCTTATTTTATGTCTCAACAAATCCGAATGGTAGTTGTAATTTTTTGTTTATTATTTTATCTTTAGTTGTAATTAGAATATCATTATCTAGATAATAAAAATTTGTATTATTTTTATATAATTCATTTTTAAAATGAGCTTGTAATTAATTGATAATAATAATGACAATAATAATAATAATATTAATGATAATAATAATAGCAATAACAACAACAGCAGCAACAACAACAACAATAACAGCAACAATAACAACAACAATAATATATTTATTTATTCCAGGAGCTACAAAAACAAAGATCATTTTTGATGGCAGAATCAAAAGAACCAGGTCTGAAAATTTACCTCATAGTTTTTATATTTGATTCATAACATTTATTTGTTAATTAATTTATTTTCTTTATTGTTAGAAATATTATATAGACTATTTATTACTTGTTATAGGTTTAGATTTCACAAATATGTCAGTAAAAATTAAAGTTTTTTTTACTAAATACAAAATTTTGTAGATGTAAAATAGCAAAAAATGTGCTTGTGCTTCATCTTGCATGCACTTGCTAGTGGCAAGTGTACCAAAGACATCAGCCCACTGGCTAATGCCATTGGTAATAAAAGTGAAATTGCTTAAAAAGGCAGCAGGAAACTTTTTCATTACTATGTTGCACTGTTATAAGACAATTAGGACTTTTTGAAGTGCTTTGAAAACCAAAAAAATTAAAAAGTATAAATGAAGTATTCATAATATGCACAAAAAAATAATTAATAATATTATTGTTTAGGTCTTCCAGAAAACATTGAAAATTATCATAGCCTTTTACCTTTAGAAAACATAAAAAATCCTAAACAGGTAGAATATATATATATTTTTTGTTCCAATATAAATTTATGTTGTTATATAGTAAGATTTTTAAGCTATGGCAATGTCTTGATTTATTACACATGTTTTAAATGTATCAAAAATTGAGATTTTACTTTAATATTTATTAAATATTTATTTTACTAAAATTTTTATTAGGTTCATTCAGTTTCTAAGCTAAGGGCCACTTAGGTCTGCAATTTTTTTCATTCTATTCTATTATTTCTATTCTATTTGAAACTTTCTCTGTTAACCCTAAACTCCCAAAAAATGATTTGTATTGTAATTTCAATAGTAAAAAAATATTTAAGGAAATTGTATTAACATACATCCCTCGAAATAGGGTCGGCATTCGACATGCCAACCTAACTG